CACTGTGACCTTGGGCAAGTCATTACGTTTTCTCTGAGTCTCTCTTTTTGTAAAATGTGAATATGATGGATTGACTGCAAAAATGTCCCCACTTCCCATCCCTTCCCTGTGACCTTTCCAGTGTGACTCTTCAGCTCTTCCTGCTAAGAGGCAGAGTCTAACTTCCCATCCCTCGAGATGGGATGCTTTGTGGCTCACTTTGTCTAACAGGATGTGTAGTTCTGAGACAGGCCTCCTGAACCTGGTGCCCTTTGCCGGCTCTCACTCCTTGGTCTCTGCCTGCGAACAAGTCTGGGCTGGTCTGCTGGGAGAGGAGACGGTGTGTGGAGGAGAGCAGAGGCGTTCCAGCTGACAGTGAGCCACGTCACCAAAGCACACCCTCTCGCTGATCCCCAGCTTCCCAGACAGGTGCGACATGAGGGAGCCCAGCCCAAACCGCAGTAACAGCCCGGCTGCTTTCAGTCAAAATTGCTGATCAACTGAATCATGAGCTAAATAAGTGGTTGTCTGAAGCTAGCAAATTTGGGGATGGTCTTTGCAACAATAGCTGTTACAGGGGTGCTGACTCTGGCTGTATCTCAGAATGTTGCAAGGAGCAAACGAGGCCATGTGCGTTAGAAGCTTTGTGAATCCTAAGTAGTACACAAATATAAGCTGCCCACCGATTGCATAAGTTTCTATCAGTATTGAGACCAAGCGGAGGATGCAAATCAATATAAACAGCCCTTTCACCCTGCCACCTCAATACATGCAGGAACTCGCTTCTGTCTTCCTGATATCTCAGCCATGTGCGATTCTCTCCAGCTTCACACACTCATCACTTGTGCACCCACCCCATGTTTACTGGCCACCTACAGCATGCCAGGAACAGTTTTTGACACTGGGGATGTTAAGGTAGGCGGGGTAGAGAAGCAAATCCATAAATGACTAAAACAGGGAAAAATAGTGATGTAAAAGGTGATGCAGAAGACAAGTGTTATGGGCAGAATGTTTGCTGCCCCCCCTCACTCATATGTCGAAGCTGTAACCCCCGGTGTTACTACATTTGGAGATAGGACTTGTGAGAAGGTGACAATGGTGCAATTAGGTTGTAAGGATGGGACCTGATCCCACAGGACTGGTGCCCTTATGGAAAGAGGAAGAGACACCAGCACTCGCCCCCTTTCTCCCTTTACCCTATGTGAGCACACAGTAAGAAGGTGGCCATCTGCAAGCCAGCAAGAGAGCCCTCACCAGAACCAGCCCTGCCAGAACCTTGGTCTTGGACTTCTGGCCTCCAGGGTTTTGTTGTGGCAGCCTGAGCCTACTGAGACCATCAATGCAGGGAGAGGCAAAGGAGTCATGGGGTAGCTTCTTTAGGTCAGGTGGTCAGATGACCATGAGGTGAGGAGAAATGAAGGAAAGAAGCCAAATAAAATCCACGGGAAGAATGTTCCAGAAAGAAGGACTGGCAGGGCAAAGGCCCGGTGGCAGGCCCAGCTGGGGTGCACTCTGACGGCCAGGGAAAGCGGTGGATTTTATTCTCCAGGTAACAGGAGCCCACAGGAGCATCTGAGGGAGGAGTGCTAGGATGGAATTTATGATAGGCCCTTCTGGCTGCTGTGAGGAGCCAGAGAGGAAGCCTGGGTGCCCTTTAGGAGGCTGCTGTGGTTGTCCGTGGGAGAGATATAGGTGTGGTTTTAAGATGGAGAAAGTAGGTCAATTTGGAATAGGTTTGAAGGTGGCTGCAGCAGGTTCTGTTGAGGTGTATTTTGGGATATAAGAGGAAGAGAGGAATTGAGGATGGTACCTCTTTTCATGATGTACACATAAGGCTATCAGAATACACAGGGCTTTTGTGGGTCCTAACCATGGGCTCTTTAACACCTCGAGGATGGTAACACCAAAAGTTGGGAGCTGCTGAGCTCCTTGGGGTCCTGGTACTCTGTCATTGACTGGTGCAGCAGGTAGTGTTACTTACTTACTTATTTTTACTGCCAGAAATGGTGCCACATCCTACTAACATCATTGCCCTTAATACATGGAAATAGGGTGAAGAGATTTATATGGGCATTGATAATCTACTGCCATGCAAAGTTACCCCTAAACAGTTTCTATGGGTTAGGAATTTGTGATCAGCTTGGTTGGGTGCTTCTGTCTCAGAATCATGCAATTGCAGTTGGATGTCAGTTGGGGATGTGGCTCATCTGAAGACTCCTCTGGGGCTGAGGATCCACTTCCAATGTGACTTGCTCACGTGGCTGGCACATTGATGCTGGCTGCTGCATGAGGGCCTTGGCTCCTCTCCTTGTGAACCTCTCCACAGAGCTACTTGAATGTCCTTATGACATGGCGGCTAGCCTCCTCAGAGTAAGTGATCCAAGAGACCAAGGTGGGGGCTGCAAGGCCTTTTATGACCCAGCCTTGGAGGTCACACACCATCATCCTGCTACATGCGATTTGTCACAGTAGGCCAGCCTCAATTTAGTGCAGGAGCAAATACCAAGAGGCAAAGTGACCACAGCATATTCTGATTTGCCTAAAAGGCAAATAACATTGTCACCACTGGCTGGAAAGGCACTCAAGTGACTTGTCTATGGTGTGATTTATCCCCGGGTCACCCGCAGGGCTGGATTTGAGTCAGACCACCTGTGTCCAGTGCTAGCTCTTCCCACTTGGGAGAGGCATTTAGCCTCTCAGGGTCCTCGTCTGTGAAATGGGCTCTGACTCCTGCCTTGTGGTGTGATGTGAGATTTGGGCCAATTGCTGACACAAGCTGGTGCCTGATAAGTGTTCTTCACTTCCCTCCTCTTAGCCAACTCCTGTTTGCTGTGCAGCACACGCTTGAGCACAAGTCTTTGAAATGAGTACTTTGATTACTATAGACCGTTTAGTAACCTTTGCACCTTGTCTATGTGGAGATTGAATGGATGGATTCTTTTCTTGGCTTTGCCTGACACCCCTGGAATGATAGGCACTAGAGAGAACATCACTCAGATCTACACATAGGCACGCTGGGCACGTGCGTGGCTGCAGGTTCAATACAGGCTAGCTCTGATTTTTGCCAACTTTCAGATATGTGTACAGATTAGATGTCAGTTACATAATTTGGTTTAAATTATTTGCAATCAGCTTTACACTGTAGATAAACTGGGAGCCACCGATGCTGTTGGTCTTAACCTGTTCTATAAATTAGTTTGTAGGTCAGGGTAAACGATGACTCAAAATCTTGTCTCGGGTGGGCATTAGGTAAGTTTCTTTAGAGCAATGTCATTAGTATCTCGTTCACATGGGAGGATGTTTTTAGACACGTTGGTTTGGCTTGTGTGGGTGAGATGGGGAATAACATTATTTCCCCCCAGTCTACAATGCCAGAATGGGTCCATTTCAATGAAATGCAACTCCTGGGTGGCCAACTAAGCTTAAATAGAAGTCAGCCGCACGCTGCCTGCCACCCTACCCTTGGGCCCTGGCTACTCTCATTTCGACAGCCTCATAAAACTGCAACAGGGGACAAACAAGATCTAATTGGCACTTTTGGTTTCACAGTGAATTGGTTGTGCTCGATACGGCTGCCGATAAGAATTCAGATGAAACATTCTGAAACCATCTGCATGAAGCCTTGATGTTCCTGCCAAGTATACTCATGGATCTAAAGATAAGCTATCTGATCCAGTGGCCTTGGCCATCCTAATTTACTTAATTATACAGTTGAACTCATTGTCAGACATGGGTGCAGTGATGTGAAGGCTGCCATGGAGTGATTCACATCGCTCGTGAGTTGGGTAATAAGTGGTTCTGTGCTGCAAGCTTGGGGTCTACAGAGTCTGGTTACAACAGGCAGGTGTCTTCATCTTATGAAAAGGTCAGTATCGCGCTCCCTCTTTTCTTTAACTATTATTTAACTCAAAAGCTACCTCTCAGTAGAATACTTGAAGTTAATTGAATTACTGTGTTGTGGTCGGCTCTGCTGCCATAACAAAGTACCACACGCCGGGGGCTCAAACAACAGGAATGGTTTCTTACAGTTCCTGAGGCTGGAAGTCTGAGATCAAGATGTTGGCAGGGCTGGTTCTCCTGAGGACTCTCTCCTTGGCTTACAGATGGTGTCTTGTCTCTATGTCTCTTTATATTGCCTTTCCTCTGTGTGTGTGTCCTAATCTCCTCTTCTTATAAGGGCACCAGGCCATCCTACAGACTTCATTTTAATGTAGCCCACTCTTTAAAGGCCCTGTCTCCAAATACAGTCACATTTTAAGGTTCTGGGAGTTAGGACTTCAATGTATGAACTTTTGGGGGGACACAGTTCAGCCCATAGCACTCTGCTTAATCCATCCCAGCACTATATTTCAACCATGCAGAAAAACTTTTAGAATCTATTATTTGAACACGTAGTAAGGCTATTGCCTCCATATGATTTGGTTTCTGATAGGTCCTGTAAATTGGCTTGTCCTGGGGTTAGGAAGAGATGAATTCTGGCAAGATCCCAGAGAAAGGGATCCCTGAGTGGGCAGGCCATACCTGTGCTAAAGTCTATGTGTGTCCAACCTCAGCATTCATACGAATAATTGGGAACCGTGTTAAAGCACAGACTCCTGGGCCACCCCTATTGTTGCTGCTTCAGAAGCTCTAGCGAAGGGTTCTGAAATGTGCATTTCCAGCGAGTTCTCAGATGCTGTGATAAGGGCCCACTACCCTGAGTAATACTGGGGTAATTCATGCCAAAGAACCAGGCAACAACCCAGCAGAAGGATCCAGGGGCAAGAGGGTCTTAAACAAGGGAAAGCAAGTGACTGTGTCTTCCTCAGGCACTGACTTTATAGCTGAATGCTTTGTAACAATTGTTAGGAAAGGAGGACAGCATGAGGGAGTTCTAGTAGATGCTAGGCACTGAGCAGAGTTTAGCACTGGCCCTTCAGCACCTGCCATGACAACTACAGAGTCATCAGACTGTCAATTATTTACAAGGTGGAACATCCTTCAGTCTTGGTGGACAGTAAGCTTCAGTTTACTCTCTCCAGGTTTGGGAGACTGTGGGGGCTCCGCACTCTGACAGCGGAAGGAACATGGACCAAACCCCACCCAGGACTTTCCCTCAGAGGTCTGCTCTGCTCCACCTTTGCTTGAAGGTAAGATTTTGGGAAAATCTCCTCCCCCTCTGAACTCGAGGGTGCCCATGTGTTTATCTCCAGATGCAGCTAATATCACTCATGGAATTACAGCCGACCCTTTAACAACATGGGTTTGAATTTTGAGGGTGCAGTAATATGCAGTTTCTTTTCTTCACGCAAATGTGGGTAGCCGAGAGACAACAGAATTCAAACTTGTCCACTGTTTTCAGGAATTGAAGGGTGAGTTAGGAAGAGAAAAGTGCCCTTTCTGTGTAATCTGACTAGAACGTTGTAAAGCTATAAAACAAGGTGCTCTGTTATCACCAAAGTGAGGAGAAAATCCAGCGACTCCAGGTTCACCTCCCCCATTGGTGACTCCAGGTTCACATTGCGCACCAGAGGCACCAGGTTCAATCTTCCCCACCAGAGACACCAGGCTCTTCATCCCGACCGGTCACACCAGGTTCACCTTCCCCACCAGTGACTCAAGGCTCACCTTCCCCATCCAGGTCCACCTCCCCCACTGGAGACACCAGGTCCACCTTCCCCATCCAGGTTTACCTTCCTCACCTGGGACACCAGGTTCACCTCACTGCAGGTTCAACCTCCCCACTGGTGACTCTAGGCTTACCTTCCCCACTGGAGATACCAGGCTCAACTTCCCCACCGGTGACAGCAGGCTCACCTTCCCCTCCAGTGACACCAGGTCCACCTTCCCCACCAGTGGCATCAGTGACATGGGGCCCCACTCCCCACTGTGACACTACTGACCACTTACCCACCAGTGTCACAGGCTTCCCTTTTCCACAGTTGGCCCAGGCCTTCCTTGCCCACTGCAGTGAAATGGCAGAGCGCCCTGGGCAGCCCTTCCCATCACTACTTCCCTAGGCTCCCCTTAGAGACCCTGCTAAGCGATGGCCCCGCTCACAGAAGTGTCCCAGTCACTTGCCCGAGATTCTTCCATCCTTCCCATGGATGACCCTGACTCTAGAAGAGAGAACATTGTGAGCTAGACAGTTCTGTCCAAGCCATCCCCAGCAGGGGCTGAATGTCCAGTCTAGCATGTGGAGGGAAGTTATTTATCAGAGGACGGCACAGGCGGCTCAGTCTGTGTTGCTCTGTGGTTCTCGGCATCAGGACCACGTGCCAAGAACCACAGAGCAACACAAATGCCGAGGTCTTTGAGCTTCCTCACTTCCCCTGGGGGTGGGTGGTGTCTTAGTCTTTCCCATCCACTTTGCAGCAGGGTCCGATCCAAGTGGGAGGAACCTGAGGATAATCAAAACCCTCTACTGATTCCCTGCAAACCCGGCCTTGACTCCTAGTCCCCCGGGCTGGTATCCAAACCCTACTCTGCATCATTGCCTGAGGGTTTTCCTGGGTGTCTCGGGAGCTTGTGCACGTGTGCAGGTGACCCAGAAGTACCAGCTGTGTAATGCACCAAAGACATCCTCAGCCAAGGAGTCATGAGGGAGTAGATAACTCCAGAATCCCATCTTATGGTAGGATGATTTGGGGCAGAGTCCAGGTCACGACTTGGAAGGTCTCCCAGGGACTGAGCCCAGTTGCCCCAGCAGTGACCTGTTCCTGAGTGTACCCTTTGTGGCATCCTTTCCATCCCTGTCTTGCATTTCCTCTTCCTGCTTGGGCTTCCCAGATCACCGCCCAAGTAAACCACCTGCTCTTGAGTCCTTGTTGTAGCATCTGCTTTGGGGGACACCTAAACCAAGATGAAAGCTAGGTCTGGGGCTCTGGAGAAGGCATGTAGTCAGTGTCCAATCAGTGTTAGCAATTATTGCCATCACTGCATTCTGGAAATGCCTTATATCGTAACATGGTTAGTTTCATAACATGGTTGTAGAAAATTCCAAAGAAATGTAAGGACCTGATTCCTGGATGGATTTTATACTTAAACTGTGCTTGTACCTGTCTAATGCTTAATTCTCCAAGATCTGAGAGACCTCACTCTCCTTGTGTAAACCACCTGCCACCTGTCGCTATGAGTCACTGCCCCATGGCTCGTGTGGGATGTGGTTAATGTTGTGGCACCATGACAACAGCACATCTCGGTCATGCTCAGTGGAAAAGCCTTCGAGGTGGAACAATGCCCGACTCACAGTCAGCATGGGGGGCTCCCCAGTTAGTGTCCATGATGTCGTTCCGTGGTTTTGTTCCCAGGAGAGGTACACAGAGATGCTTATAGCCTTGTTATTGCAGAGCTAACTTTTATTGAGTGCTTGCTTCTCAGGCAGCTAAAGTGCTGAAGGCCTTCATGAAGATTATCTCTTAATTCTCACAATCCTTCCCTAGCGTTTAGTAGAAGAGGAAAGCAAGGCTTAGGGAAGCCAAATACATTGCTTACTGAATTCAAGTTTCCAACGAAACCTCTTTCTCCTGGTTCCGTCCCCACAGTCTTTGGTTCCCACTGACGTCTAACACACATTGGCATTCGCACACACACACAGACATCCTCACTTTCTCTCTCACATCCCTTTAGACACTAAGAAGGGAGTTTTTGGCTTACAACGGTTATGTTCTGAATTATTCCCACTTTCATTCTTGAGTCATGCTGCTTGATTTTGGAGATGTTATACCAGAATTCAGTGGAACTTGGGGGCAAGAAAATAACACAAGGGCAGTGAGACATGCCATCCTAGCAGAGCGCCAAGGACAGGGTGAGCAAGGGGCTGCCCTGGTGCAGGCTAGAAGGGGGTTCATCATCTGTGGGGGATTTTAAAACAATAATAAAACCAAGCACCAATGAGCCTGCTCTTTATTGTCACTGCACACTAGGAATTCCTCACAATGTCAATCATGACATACTCTTTTCCCCCAGAATCTTTTCTGGTGAGAATTCTGAACAACTGCTGCAGTTACCCAAGCTTCAGCAATCGGTACATGAGCTCCAAGTGAGCACGTAGTCAGTCCTGATCGTTTAATAAACACCGTGTCAGTTCAGAGAACTCCCAGCAATACGGTCACGTCTGACACACATGGACTGAGCTTCCACAGGTGCATCGTGAGAGACGTTTATCAGGGCCCTGGATCATTCGAGCTCGCTCCAGGCACTGCTGGGGTCCTCAGCCCTATGGAGCGACACATTCTTGTTCCTGCATGGAGGCAGCAGCAGCGACCGCACAGTGAAGGTAAAGATGAAGAAACACGTTGGAGTTCCTTCAGTGTGACTTGGAATCTGCGTTTGTGTTTAAAATTCCAGACAGTGACATAGGGTTAGAACTGTGAGGTGCACCATTTTTATTGGGTAAGTTCAGATTTCAGCTCATGCATATTTGTTTCATGTCGTGATTGTTACTAACAATAATTTTGTCTTATAGAAGAGAGGAGTCTTGGCAGTGATCTGCTCAGGGTGTCAAATATGCGAGGTCTGTCGGCTACATCACACTATAACTGGGGCAGAAATTCAGGCTCTTTTTGGGTTTTGTTTTTGCATACAGTTGTCCTACACCTGAAAAGCAGATGGTATATTACACATACTGTTACGTTTTCTCTTGCCAAGGTGCAGATGTCCTTTGTGTGTTGTTCAACCCTCACAATGTGTACTTTATGGAAAGCGTACATCCCAGTCAAGCCCATAGGAAAGGCATTACCCATTGACCTTTCTGAAATATTCTGCCCCCGTGATTCTAGCAATACCAGAATGACTGCTTGAGAATCTCTAGCCTGGCATCTCCAGGCCCCTGGCTTTCCTCTGTGCTGGAGACCATAGTGCTCCACAGGATACTCCTTTATGGCTGGCACCCACATCCCCCTCCTGATGGAGCAATGATGCTGGAGTCTGTAGCTGAACCCTCCCCGGGGGTCTGTCCTCAGCCAGGGTCTACTCCATCCTTGAGCTGCCCCCATCCAATGGCTGGTTTAGGAGGTGCACGAAGGTCTAGCTTGGTGCATTAGGACAAGCATGAAGTACCCCCAGCTGAGCCTTTCCTTGGGCCTCTACACCTCAAATTCTCCTGCTGTCCAGTCCTGCCTCCTTACTCCCTACGGGGATTGACCCTGGGGGCACTCCCAGTCTACTGCCTATGCACAAGTCAGGGGCTGTTCCTGGAAACTCTGTTATGACACATCCCTTCTCCCCAAACCTACACCTTGCGTAGATTTGGCTTTCTGGCCAGTGCCCTCTTCCCCAAATGCACCTGTAGGTCCCCATCTTGGTCCCTGTAGCAATCAGTGTTGTGCATTAAGTGTGTCCTTCTGGGCTTGTGGGAGGCTTTTGTTCCTGGCCCCTGTGTCTGATAAGCTGGGGACACATATAACATGTGTCAGTTCCAAGCGAACTGTTGGTTACAGCAGCACCATACTGAACATCTGACTGATACAGCTCCTTTGGGTTAGAACCTCCCTCCCTGCATTTTCTGGCCAGTTTTACCTTCCAAATTCTGGACAAAATGCAGCCATCTCTGTAGACCTCAGAATCCAGTTGGGATCCAGTGTTCATCTTTGTTCTCTTGAAGTCCATCTTCCCCGGGAGACCGACAATGTCTTCAGGATAGAAAGTGCATCTTAGTGACCCTCCATCCCTCACAAGGCCTTGGTCTGAGTAGAGAGGTAATGCTTGCTGAGAGGACGGGGGCTCACGAGGACCTGAGTGAGGTGCCCAGGATAGATGATGAATAGGCACTGGTGATGTCAGTGTGCCAATAGGAGAGCCATTCCTGACACCGATGCTAAATATCACACGTCACGTTCCTTTCATCAGCCATAGAGCAAAATCCCTGCACTCTCACTCACCCACTGAACACCCCACATTCTTAGATAAAAGAATGATTTAAGTGGGTCTGCAGTATTCTGTAACATATTGTTCTCGGCACCATATGCTTAATACTGATAGCCGGTGTTTGCTCGCAGTTACTTCTGCAGGCTCATGTGTTGAGCAAACATCAGTATCCTGGGGCCCAAATACTGCTGAAAGCAACTGAAAATATGGCAATGACTACCATGAATATCAGTCCTAATGAACTTCCCATTGTATCCAGAGTACCAATACTGTCATTTCAGCGGCTCGGCGTGGGTCTCAAAGGGCACATCTACTATCCCTGCCCTCTGCAGAGGCTCAGGGAGGTTGACCGCCTGTAGGGGAACCACGGCTGGAATGGGACACCCGCTGTGGGATTCTCACAGAGCAGCGTCCTGCTGCGGGGTAATCGCCCTTTCCTGCCTCTCTTGCCGCTCTTCTGCCTCTGCCATTACTGGTCCTGTTGTCTGACTCACTTACAGTATTTCGAGGAGGACCCTGAGGGCTTCCTTCTTCATTCTGTTCCTGAATTATTTCCCCCAAATTATTTCAGATTATGTATTTACTTTTAATTATCTTTATATTGATCATTTGTTCTCAAACTCTGTTATATTGATTTATTTTAGCCTTGGTATTTTTATAACACCACTTAAGCCTCAGCTGTCTGGCCAGTTAAATGAAATGAATCATATCAAGCAAGCACACGCTGATCTGTAGGTCTGCCTCCTCACACACCTGCCGTGGGGCAAGAATTGGGTTCCAGCCCCTGATCGGCACAGGAGTGCACAAGCGGTCTCCCATGCAGGCAGCTTCTGTGACTTCACAATCAAAGATGTTTCCGAGGCTGAAGATTCTCCCTTGACCTCAGCATCCTCCTTCACCTACTGCAGGGGCGACTACTGCCCAGTACAGGAGCTGGAGGAGATCCTGCAGGCAAAGAAGAGAGACAAGTGCAGTCCCATGAGATCCGGAATGCTTATGGTCTACCCCAAAGTCAATCAACACCAATTCTGGTTTGGAAATCAACGCATCTGCACTCTGAGTTGCATTGGATCCTGGCGGACCAGAGCTCTGCACGCTTTCTACTCTCCAGCCTGTGTGCAGAAGTTGTAATACGAAAAATGACATTCTCCAAACTCCCTTGCAGCTAGATTCTGGGCCTGATTTTATTTGATTTTGACTAGGTGCACGTCCTTGCCATTTACAGGACAGAAGGGAGTGGGGGCTGCGCGTTGCCGTGTCTGCCGTTTCCATCGTGAAGCACAGTGGAGAGGTCCTGGTTTTCTGCAGCAGTTTTAGCAAGAGGTCCTGATTTCTGGGCAGTGGCTCTGTGAGTGTGAAGAGCAGGGCTTGGAGCAGTCGTTTTACTTGTGAGCAAGTTGCAGCCACTCATAGTTCTGGGCCTCTTTTTGATCCCTAGCTCCTAAGGTGAGGTATTCCTGAAGCATTTGGTTGTGGCTGGTTTTCCGATTTCCTAATTATAATAAAGGTGGGTGATCTGAGAGCAAGAGGAAGCCCAGCATCCTTCCTCCCCACCCCACTGTCTAATTTCTTGCTGGAAGCACCATGGGTGCAGTCGTCTGGCATGTCCACTAGGCTGCCTAGAGTAGCTCTTTGCGCAATGGAACTCAATCTTGAGTGCATAAATGATGCATCCATCTGGAATTCTCTTCAAAAGAGCTGCATATCTCATGAGTTAGTAAGTCTCTATGCGCAACAGGTCACAATAAATTGGAAGTGCTAGTGTTGGGATATTGGGATGATAGGAATTTCTTCATTGGCTTTAAAAAAAAACTCCTGGAAGGTGAGTGTTAGGTGGAATCAGATTTGCTGTCCTGTCCTTGAAATTCAGCCTCTCTTTCTCTTTTCTCTCCTCTGTATTAGATTATTTTCTAACTACAGTACAAAGGCAGCCCATGGATTTAATTACTTGGAACCATATTTCCTTTCATTAAAGGGATTTACTTTAAGTCCTAACCAAGTTCGACATTCAGCCTATCTACTTTAAATAACAAGTGATTTTCTGTGTTCTCCAAGCTTACTACAATAAACATGTTATTTTCAGGTTTTAAGTGTAAAAGTTTAACATAACCTCTATTCACCCCCTGCTTCCCAAGAAGGAAATATTTTTGCATATACAATTATACACAAGCATATTATTTTGTTTTACTTTATCTTTACACAAGTAGGACTTGAGAAAGCTTACTATTCTGTAACTTTTAGCTCTTCTTTAGCACTTCGGTAACTTTTAGTACATCTTGGACTTCTTCGCTTAGCAGGACAGACGATGGAAAGCCATCAGAATAGCAAGGATGTATTAAGCATTTCTCATGTGCTGTGTGTTAAATTAGCCCTGTAAGTGGATTGATACCTTTGATCTACACAGCAGATAGGAAGTCAGCGCTTTCTAAATCAATCCTGCTCTTGGAGAAGGTTATGCATGTAAACCCCCCTGGACCTCCTCCTCACACTGTAACTCCCTGTGATAAAGCCAACTCCTGCTTTATAACAAATACTCATATCTATTTGGTAAGTCCCTTCTCATCTCTTTTCTTGTTTAGACTTTCTCCAGCTCCATTACAGGGACATATTAAAAGATTCTATTAGTGCTTAGGATATAGAGTACATATGGACAACTTTATACTATTATGCCTTTTATTCAAGAAAAAGATTTTTATATATTGAAAGAGAGACTGGGTCAAAGACGCCTCTGGGTATGTTGTTGGCTCCTTTCAAGTACTTCTTATGGCTGTTAGCACAAAGACAAAATTCCTGCCTCTGTGCCAGGTTTTTGCCGTATGTCCAGCTTGTCTCATCCAGTATGGGCACATGGCCCTTCAGTTCTTTGAACAAGAAGGCTCCACGCCACCACAGCACAGGCCTTTGGACAGTGTTCTCTCGGTCTGGGATGGGATGCTTCCGCCCTCTACCCGAACAACTCCCACACGCCCTTCAGATCCCAACCTGAAGACTGTTTCTTCAGAATGCCTTTCATGGCATGGACTGGCATTACCAAAATTTTTCTGTCATTTTGATAAAAGAAAAACTACATACAATAATTTTATCTACATTTCTTTGTGTTTGAGTTGAACATGTTTCTTGTCCATTTTTGTTTCCTCATAAACAGCTGGTTGGTACTTTTAGATCATTTTTATGGAGTTGTTCCTTTTTATTTATTCACAGGAACTTATTTATATTAAAGAAATTATTGGTCTTATTTCTTCTATATACCTTTCAGTTCAAATACCAGTTGGTTAGTTGACTTTTACATTTGCTTAAGGCATTTTTCTTTCTCAAAAGGTACTGGTTTTTACGTAGTCAGAGTTATTAATGCTTTCTTTTAATGTTTTTGGATTTTGTGTGGAACTAAGAAAAGGCTCCACTTCTCCAAAGTTAGTAGTAGAACGGGGAACCAGTTTTGTTTTTTCTGCCAAATGACTATCTAGGTGAGCCAAGATGAGATACTGATAAGCCATCTTTTCTAAGTGATTTTTGTTTTTTGTTTTCTTTTTTGAGACAGAGTCTTGCTCTGTCACGCAGGCTGCAGTGCAGTGTCACGATCTCAGCTCACTGCAGCATCCGTCTCCTGGGTTCAAGCAATTCTCCCTGCCTCAGCCTCCCGAAGAGCTGGGATTATAAGCATGCACCACCACTTCTGGCTAATATTTGTATTTTCAGTAGAGATGGGGTTTCACCATGTTGACCAGGCTGGTGATTTTTAAATGGCAGCTTAGTCTATACTCTTAGTTGGTTTCTGTTTATTTCTGTACTGCATATTATTTCTTTGATGTGTGGTCTAATTCTGTTCCATTATCAGACTATTAAAACTAATGATGCTCTAGAACAGACATTGGCAAACTCTTGCTGGAAAAGACCAGATGGTGAATCTATCAGACTTTATGGGCTTCATAGGGTCACACACAGGTTTTTAAAAACAATGCTTTAGAGCCAGGCATGGTGACTCACATCTGTAATCCCAGCACTTTGGGAGGCTGAGGCAGGCGGATCATAAGGTCAGGAGATCGAGATCATCCTGGCTAACACGGTGAAACCCCATCTCTACTAAAAATACAAAAAACTAGCCGGGCAAGGTGGCGGGTGCCTGTAGTCCCAGCTACTTGGGAGGCTGAGGCAGGAGAATGGCATGAACCTGCGAGGCTGAGCTTGCAGTGAGCAGAGATCACACCACTGCACTCCAGCCTGGGTGATAGAGTGAGACTCCGTCTCAAAAAAAAAAAAAAAAAAAAAAAAAAAAGCTTTAAAATTGCAAAAAACATTATTTGTTCATGGCACATACAGAAACAGCCCAGGAGCTGGCTTGGTCAATTCCTGCTTTATAACAAATACTCATATCTATTTGGTAAGTGCCCTGTCATCTCTTTTCTTGTTTAGACTTTCTCCAGCTCCATTACAGGAACATATTAATAGATTCTATTAGTGTTTAGGATATAGAGTACATAGGAAGAATGGACAACTGCATAATATTATGCCCTTTATTCAAGAGAAAGATAGAGATTTTTATATATTGAAATAATCTTCTTTTATGTTCACACTGGGGACTTAACATTTCCTTCTCATCACGTGTTCATATTTCTTAAATTTATTCCTAGGACTTTGGTTTTTTAGTGTTATTCTGAGTGACATTTTCCTTCCATTATATTTTCTAAAGAGTTGTTATTTGTCTATCAAAAAGGTATTTATTTTACATTAATTTTGTAAGAGTTGCCTTTTATTATTATTATCTCTTAGTGTTTCTAATTGCTTTTCAGGGTTTTCTTTCGGCTTTAAGTATATCGCCCACAATGAATAATAGTAAGCCTTCTCTTTTCCAAAACCTATGTTTCTTACGCTATGATCCTGTTTTATCACACTGGTTAGCACTTCCTGAATGACATAGTGAAACTGAGCATCTTTGTCTTATTCCTGCAAGGCCTGGACCTGCTGCCCTGGATGAAGCCCAGCCTCAGGGGTGAGGCTGCCCGACAAGCTCCCGACTCAGAGGGATCCACAGCTTTAGTTGTCATTGATGTCGCTGTTGGCCCAGGAGTGAGCTGGTACCACCTAATACCCCTCAAGAGGAGACCTAGCCTCCTGCATGAGAATGGAGCATTCCTGGGAGATAGCGTCTCCCTGAACACAGACGGGACCTGGCAGCGAGGACCACAGGGCCTGACCCCTGTGAGCCAATGCCTCCAGAACCTGAGACTTCCAGTCATTGTCCATTGAGGGATGGACTGACTCACATCTCAAAATTCAACCAGATTTCCAGTTGGAGGCCAGGGGAATCTGGAAACATTAATTGCCTCCTCCATTAAACAGATGCATTTACTTTTGTGTTTATTGAATTAATTTACAAAATGCTGCTGTCTTGAGGGAAGCATTCCCTGGAGCTTGCAAATACCAGCTAATACCACGTAGTTAATATGCACTCAACAGAAGCAGTAATGTCAGGGTTATATTAGCACCAACCAAAGAATACAAACATCCAGACTTTTGAAATCTCCAACCTCCAAGACCTCCGTGATTTACTGTCTTTTAGGGTTCAATCTAGATAGGGAAATTGGATTTCCTGTCAGAAGTTTCTGTGCAGCACATTCCTGAACTTCCTTGAATGGTTTGACGTCTTTCTGAGGTTTCTGGCGTCAGCCTCTAGGGCCGACTGCTACCACCTTGAATCCAAGGGGATTGTTTTGGAGGAGAAGAAGGGGAACCTAGTTGCATCTTCCTGGTAGTGGGACAAGTTAGTCTAATGTGTTTTTCACAGTCTTCTAGATGGGAGAAACGCCTGTGGAGCCCAGCATCCAGGTGTTTCTGAAATTGCTTCCAGTGAATGAAGGCATTTGCCTGCCTCCACCATCCCAATCATGCCTACCCACTCTTTCCTCTTCTGATGAGATCTTTCAGCAAATCAAGGCTGGGGCTTGGTGAGTAACTTCCCAAGCATCACCAGCTCTCTGTATTTTAAGGTCTCTGTCCACACTGCCTGCCCTGAAAGGAAGAGAAGCTGGACAGTACCCAAGGAATCTAGAAACAACCTTTTCCTCTGCTCCTGTGCTATCTGGGTAAACTGATCAAACAGCACATTTTCTGAGGCTAGATTTGTTTCATTTCTTTCTTTTTAGTTGTTGAAAGTTTGGTGTGGCTTTTGTTCTGACTTACTTTTACACTTTTTTTATTATTGACACATGATACTGTATGTGTAATTTTTTTTTTTTTTTTGAGAAGGATTCTCACTCTGTTGCCCAGGCTGGAGTGCACTGGCATGATCATGGCTCACTGCAGACACTACTTCCCAGGCTCAGGTCATCCTCCCACCTCAGCCTCCTGAGTAGCTGGGACTATAGGTGCATGCCATCATGTGTAGCTGATTTTCGTATTTTTCACAGAAACAGGGTTGCATCATGTTGCCCAGGCTGGTCTTCAACTCCTGGGCTCAAGCTATCCATTTGCCTTGGTCTCCCAAAGTGCTGGGATTACAAGCATGAGTCACCACACCCATCCTGATGGTTTAGTACATGTGTGCATTGTAGAATGATTAAATCAAGCACATTAGTATATCCATCATCTCACATACTTGTCATTTTTCCTAGATGAGAACATTTAATATCTACCTTTTAAAAGCAATTTAAAAAAAAAAAGCAATTTTGAAATATATAATACATTATTATAACCAGGGTCACCATGCTGTCCAATAGATCACTAAAACAATTCCTCCTGTCTAACTGAAACTTTGCACTCTCTGACCAGCATCTCCTTTTCTCCGTCCCCCCTTCCTCATTTGTTGCTTAAATTATTTGGACAATAGCAGCTGCTTTGGCCTGAAAATACCTTCGGAAGCCTCGTGCCTCACACTAATTAGTAAGAATAAGTACAGGACACCATGTGACTGCCCCTCAGCAGTGGAATGTATAACCAAGTCCTGGTCTGTTCCCACCAAGGAATGACTACAAGACGGTGACATGATAATCTACGATGGTCTGAGATAATGTGTATGAGAATCTTGCAAAGTAAATTGAGCCAAAGAAGCTGGACAGAATAGTACAAATTGTAGTATTCCATTTATACAAGGTATAAAATCCAGTGGAATTAGGCTGTGCTGTCAGAACTCAGGATAATGCTGGGCCCAGTCATGACCGGGAAGGGGTATGTGGTGTGCTTCTATGTGTAGTGTGGGTGACCCACTGTTCTTGTTCGGAGGCTGGATACGTGGACATGCTCAGTTTGTGAAAATTCAACAAACTGTACGCTTAGGAAAGGTGCTGCATTTATGTGTGTGTACGTGTGTTTATATACCTTAAATGTGTATATAAAAAATTATATACCTTAATTTTTTTTTTATTTTGACGGAGTCTTGCTCTGTCACCCAAGCTGGAGTGCAGTGGCTGATCTTGGCTCATTGCAACCTCCACCTCCCAGGCTCAAGCGATTCTCCTGCCTCAGCCTCCCGAGTAGCTGGGATTACAGGCACACGCCACCAGGCCCAGTTAATTTTTGTCTTTTTTTTAGTAGAGATGGAGTTTCACCATGTTGGCCAGGCTAGTCTCAAACTCCTGACCTCAAGTGATCCACCCACCTTGGCCTCCCAAAGTGCTAGGATTACAGGCATGAGCCACTGTGCCTGGCCCTTAAATTTTTTTGAGATGGGCTCTTGTTCTGTTGCCCAGGCTGGAGTATAGCGGCATGATCATATCTCACTGCAGCCTTGACTTCCTGGGCTCAAGCAATCTTCCTACCTCACCATAAATTTAAACATGAAGAAGAGCAATGACAGTTCTGCTATGGGGCATGCAGACATAAAGCTCCAGTGGGCCTTCTAAAGGCAGAGCCATCTTCAGAAACCACCACCCTTGGCCCACAGCACTTCCCTCGCTGCCCTGTGCTCTGGTCCCTATGCCCCTTCCCAGGGAATGTGAGTGTTTCATTCAGGGATAGGAGGACCTGGCACTTGGCGGAGGCCACTGGCCCTCGCCCTTGAACTGTAATGGGATCCCTAAGTGCTTTCCTTATGGTGTCATTGTTCTCAGGCTGCCAAGAGGACAACAGAAAAACATGTTGGTGTGGCGGTTGTCGTTTACAACATGAAGACTCCGGATTATCCAGAACAATGGGAACCCCCAAGAGCATGTGGGCTTTTGCAGAGGAGGATCCAAAGATTCTTCTAGAATGTATTCAAAAGGACAAGGAGATCAGAGAGATCAAAGACCTGAGGGGCAGTCCTTGGTCCCAGGGTCCTAGGAGGAGAGAACCCCAGGAAGAGGAGGGAACGTCGCAGAGCCAAGAAACAGGTTCCCAACTTGCAAACTTTTAAAAGTTATAATCCAGCAATTTAAAAGTTATTATTAATACACTTGATTCATGAAAAACTGACTTTTTCCTGAGGAAGAAATTCAATTTACCTCTTAGAAACTCTTTTTTTAAAAAAAATCCTCCCTAGACAAAAAGAAAAACCAATTCAAAACTTCCACTTCCTCATTTCTTTGCAGAATCTCAAGTGCCCTTAAGGAAAACACACACACACACACACACACACACACACACACACACACACACACAGACCTAGTTAAAAACAACAGGTATTTTCACACTGGTGCTGTGACCTATTTCTGGATCAGAAACTGGATTGCAGGTCCACAAAGCCATCTCCCCACCTGGTGTTTGTTCTGCACAGCGGTTAGGAAAGTACAGCCTCAGGGTCTAACAGAAAATGCATCTCTTCTTCTTTTTTATGATCGAATGCCATGAATTTACTAATTTATAGCATTTACTTTTGTATTACATACAGAGGCCAAGATTGGAGCTTAGCCCAATCTTTTCTGGAAATGGTTCTTTTGAAATCAGCAAGTCTACTTAAATAAAAGAAATATTCCTCTGCCTTCCCTGGTGACTTGCATCCTCATTTTCATTTGTAGCTTTCTTTTTCAAGACTTTGTTGGGAAGCCGGTAATGGGAGCTCTGTTCCCATTGAAGAGTGTGGTGGTGCGTAAGTCCCGGTGAGTCTATCTGCCACGAGGACCGTTCCATATCTAGAACCATGACAAAACAAATATTTATGAAAGAATTTCAGAGAAGTCCAAATCTAGATGTCCTCATCACGGATAATACAGGAGCTTGAAATACCTGTGCAGATCACCTGGTTCACTAACTACTGAGACATAGGCTGTGAGGATCCAGGATCGCCCAGCCCAGCAATCACAGGGAAGGCTCGCTGCATGGCGAGGCTGCAGAGGGAACACCAAGGGTCCAAGTGGGCACCTCTAGGGTTGCAGGGTGTCTCGGCCTCAATTATTGCCGTTCCACTGTGGATTTACACGCTGTATTTCCACAAATAAAATTTTATTTTACATTTATCTATGCTAAAAAGAGTTGAAAACCACTGATCTATTTGAGGCTCTTATTTTACCTGAGCAGAGAGAAACATGACCAGCCAGGGATTCTCCAACAGGAAGATACACAGATAGATGAAAGCTGTCAAACATGTGAGCAAAATGAATGTTACAGAACAGCGACATTCAGATTCAACGAACGGAACTTGTCCCTGCTCAAGGAAACAGCTACACACAGCAGTTTAAAGTTTTAAAGGTGATCATATTTAATACGTTTGAGAAGATTAGAGAATGTAAACTATCCATGAAACAAGAAGAGGCTTTTATGAAAAAGAACTATAAAACCTTGAAATTTAAAAGATGATTGTTAATGAAACCTAGCAAAACAGACACGATTGAAGAATAAACTAGTGATCTGAAAGACCAAGGGGTTCTTGTAGAATGTCATTCATGGGGACAAATAAATCCAGGTAAGAGACAATTGACACATGAGAGGGAGCTGGAAGTTTCTTTATGTATTTAGTAGGTGTTCCAGGAGGAGAGAACAGAGAGACTCGAGGGAGGAAAATAATTCAATAACTGATAGAAGAAAATTGATCAGAACTTTTCCAGTTCAAAAGCAGGGCCAGCTTCCTCGGTATGTGGCCCCTGTGGTCAAGTAAGGCTCTACGCTCAGAAGGACTCTATGATGGTCTGATTCTCATCTGTTGCCATCTTGAAATGCTTCATCATTTGATCTTTGAACTTGGGTTTCGTAAGTGAAGTCCAAAGGGGCCACAAACTGTGTGCATGTGCAGAGACACAGGTAATCTATGTGTCCCCGTTTCTGGCTGCTCCATTCACGTTTCTAAGGCCCATGCACACAGAATTCCAGTGGATTCCGGTGGAGTTCAGTGACACTGAAGGCGAGCAGAAGGTAAGCATGCTCTACCACTGAAGGAGGGGCATATGGAAGCCCCACAAAGTCACACACGATCTGTTGGAACCAGAACTTGTTTCAAACGCCTAAAGAAGGCAAAGGCCTTCTAAGAAACAGAACAATGAAGGCACCCTATCGCATCCCTTCTTACCTGGGCTACTTCCCAGTATTAGACAACCACGTGCTTTGAAAATGATGACATATGAGGAAAGATGAGGACAGAGCAACCCAGAGTTCCTGTCCTTTGGTGCCTTCTCCCTCATTAGTCAGCTGAAGGTAGACGGTGCTGGTGCACGTGCATGTAGCAAGAAGTAAAACACAAATAGTTGAGCTACTTTTGAGGAGCATTGTCACTGTTATGGTAAAAATGAAATACACATGTATGCTTGAGCCACAAACCATAACACAAACCATAACTTCAGTGATTCCTCTGTATTTGCATTTAAAACTATCATTGCACAAAGGATAAAATTCATGCTAATACTTTAAAATTTTAACTTTACTTGGAATGACGTTTCAATGACATGAAAAACGCAGTACATCAAGAAAGAGACTCTGGAAGAGAGGAAAAAGCTGTATACTTTAGTATTATTATGCCTTTTTCTTGCTTTTTGAACGGGAGTTCCACGTTTTAGTTTAGCACTGTTTTCTGCAGACCAGATAGCCAGTCCTATTTAAAAGGGCCCACCAATGCATGGCAGAATGCATTTTAAAAAGATTTATCTTCGAACTTCAAAGGTAAAGAGAAGTTTTTGAAGTTTCCAGAGAGAAAGAAGGGTTAATTTACAAGAAATGAAGTGCCTGGGGCAGCAATGTGGAGCTGGGTCAAGAGTGCTGCAGCTCTTTGAGCAAAGGGCACCCAGACCGTGGCTGGCCAGGGCTTCTGTGTGGCTCAGGGCTTCTGAGTAGGCTCATCCCGTGTCTTCATGTGGTCTGGAAACCAAAGGAAGGAGGAGCGGACAGCAGCTGCGGGGCAGGGGTGGACTGGGCTCACAGGGCTCGTTGTGAAATCCTGGGGCGTCTCCTGGGAGCTTGTCTGCACAGAGCTGGCAGGGCCAGTGCTGGAGCCAAGCCAGGTTCTAGGAACGTGCCCAGACACAGCTTGGCAAGGTGGTGGGCTGCAGCATGTGGGGACAGGAGGAGCACAGTGTCCCTGAGCTCTGCTGCTCCAGGGCTGGGCTCCGCCGAAGAACCAGGAGGCTGGAAAAGGCAAGTGCGCCAGCGCTGAGGCGCGCCCCGGGCTGCTTTCGAGGCTCAGGTTTCCTGTGTCAGTGGATGGGCAGGGCCAGCTCTGTGTGCTGTGGGTTTGTGTCCTGAGACAACACATGCAGATGCACACAGACACACAGATACATGCAGACACACAGACTCATAAGACCCACATGTACATACAGACACACAGATACCCAGATACACATGGATACACAGACTCATACAGACACATGTACATATAGACACACAGACACATGCAGACACACAGACTCATACAGACACACAGACACAGATACATGCAGGCACACAGACTCATAAGACACACACATACATAGAGACACACACACAGATACAGGCAGATACACATATACATGGACATACACATGTACATACACACACAGACCCATACGGGGACACTTAGACACACAGACACACACACAGACATACATGCAGATGTATATACAGACACACACTCAGACACACAATGGAAAGTTTTTCCTTGGCCCTTCAAATACGGAAAAATCATCCAAACAATTCATTTTGGCTAAGCCAACTTGTGCCGGCATTAGGAGTCAGAAGCCAATGCAGGGAGTGCAGCTCTGCCTGCTGTCCTTCTCCCTGACTGCCCTGGTAGAAGCACTGATGAGCACGGCAGCCAAGGCTGTCCAGGAGGGGCGCATGGAGCACAACGCTTGGACGGAGTCCAGCCAGCGAGGAGAGGCTGGCTGGGTCCCTCCCGGGGCCCCCAGACTGTTCCAGGACTGTGGGAGGCCCAAGAGGGGAACAGAGCGACCCGTTTCCCAACAACTGGCAGCCTCAGTGTGGTGGGGATGTGGTGTTCTGGGCCCAAGGGAGAGGTCGTCAGCCACAGAAAGAGGGAAAACTGTGTGGGGGGAAGAGGCATGGGCTAAGGTTTCAGGCCCCAGGAAGGACTCGTTGGAACAGCACGGGCTGAGTGGGAGCCCACGCCAGGCCAACAGCGAGCCCCGGTGTGGGAGAGCGCCTTGCACAGCCGCCTTGTGAGGAGTCAAAGACGCGGAGGACCTGCTGGGAGAAATGAGCACAGGCAGGTCTCCGTGCGGCCGGAATTCTGTGCGTCCTGAGGATGCTTCATTTCCAACCGAGGGAATGCAAGTCCACAGAGGTTTCCAGAAGTCATCGACCATGGAATGGTTTCTCTCTTCCACTGAGCAGAACAGTCTGGACAATACCCATGTGAGAACACGGCAGAGGCTGGAATGGTCTTGGGGCAGTGGGGAGGCTCCGGCCTGGGAGGGTCTCACTCTACTGCACAGCACATGAAGCCCACCCTGCGAGGTCGACGGAGGGCTGAAGCTGAAAGCCCAGCAACAAAGGACGAGCACCCAGGCTGGGTTTGGCCCCTGGTCTCTTTCCTCAGTGTGGCTTCCTGGGTAGCAAGCACATGGCTGGGGGGATCCCCACGGCAGGCCTAGGCCAGGTGAGGCAAGTGGGTGTCCTTAAGTGACGCCCCAGCATCCCCTTCTCTCACCTCAGCCCTGGCCCTGGCTGAGGAGAACAGGTGGTCCTCAGCCATCTGGGGGCAATGGCAAGCCTGGAGTGGGGTCCGTGCAGATCACATAAGAACAGGGCTGAGGCACTGGGGATGTCCATGCAGCTCCGGCTTCCCAGGATGGGGATGGGGGTGGCGAAGGGCTCTCCATCCACAGGGACCCCTGGGCTGGGCCATGTAACTGTAGGGCATTGCCAGAACCAGGGTCACCATGGGCTGGGCACTCAGAGGCTGTTCCAGGCGGGAGTTCACACTCCTGGCCCAGGGCAGTGCCTGCGCTCCTTGGTACAGAGAACTCATGCCTTTCTAGAACAACTCGTGAAGGGTAAATAGCTACATGTGAAGAGGGACCCTATGCAGGGAGGACAGTGGTGGTCATCAACATTGACTTTTGTTGTTGTTGTTTTTTGAGATGGAGTCTCGCTCTGTTGCTTTGTTGCCCATGCTGGAGTGCAATGGTACAATCTTGGCTCACTGCAAACTCTGCCTCTTGGGTTCAAGCGATTCTCCTCCCTCAGCCTCCTGAGAGCTGGGATTATAGGTGTGTGCCACAGATGGCTGTGATATGGCTGGTTTCATACCTCCACAGTGAACTACGCACATGCGGTAACTGTGGCTCAGGTGGTACGGAGGGCACAGAGTGACACGCCTGTGGCCTCCCCATAGGTAAGAGGCTCAGGTCATCTGGCCACTAACTCCCACCCTCACGTATCTGGGTGCTTTGGTTCTATGGAACACATGTCCTGAAGAACCCATATTGGGCTTCTGTCCAGCGAGATTTCACACCCTGGGCATTGCAAATGACCATGGAAAAACGATGGCTGCTAAGAGTTATTCCTTATAGAGGCAAAGTGATGAGCAAATATTATAGCAGGTCAGTATTATTAT